ATATGTAAGCCCCCCCCCCCATTGAAAATAGCTGTGTACGCCACTGCATACTATCTACTCATTTCGGGACGTTTTCAGAAGCGGAATTGATCTTCTTATTCGGGTTTTCATAACTTATGTAATTCAACAAAAATTAAGATAAACAAATAAGACGAGCTCAATGATAACACTTTAGCTCTATAATAATTAAAATGCCCGACTTTGCCACACTCTTGTGTGGAATATCGAGTGTTATTTTTAATAGCACACATTGAAAAAACAAACCGCCGGTGCACACTATATACATTTGTTATTTCGTACTTCAAAGTGCGTGCTCTTAAAACACACTACTTTAGGTACTCGGTCTATGAATTAAAGAAAATGTGAAATTTGTCGTTAACCAAGCTTTTTACCTATTCTCAAGTGTTTATTTCGAGTATTTTTTTATCTGCTACATTTTATAATTTATATTATTACACAAGTTACTTATGACTAATGTCGGAACTTTAAAATTTTGTAGTAAATATATATGTCGTATTATGATATATTATTAAATATTTAAGTAGATATAAGTTAACTTTAAATTATTAGTAATTGACTGAGGGTTAAGATGTAGACGCCAAAATATATGTACCTATGCCAGAACACTACATTTAACCTGAAAGATGTTTTCAATTTTCAAATATTTTAGAAAATTAAATTAGGTATTTTGTTATCTTAACTGATATTATAAGTATATGATTTTTAAGCATACTACTGTTGATTTATTAATGTATTATGTATAGTGCGTCATAGCAGTCTGAACTGATTAAGATTTCTGCAAATTTAATTGTTGTAAATAATATATCATACTGCAATATAATATTAATTTATTCCATTTAACTCATAATTTTAGGAAAATGGCGCTGCATATGAAGCTGGTGGTCTTGAAGTTGGACAGTTGATCTTAGAAGTCGACGGCCAAAAAGTTGAAGGTAGGTATATTTAATGTTTTGGTATATTCCAACATATTAGAAAGCCACATATGTGTGATGTGTGTATAAAATATAATTAAACCATAGAAATCATTAGCATTATTGTTTATTTTTATTTTTTTCAGGAATGCCTCATCAAGAAGTAGCTAGGCTCATCGCAGAATCTTTTGCACAAACTGATAAATCCGAAATCGAGTTCCTTGTAGTTGAAGCAAAGAAATCGAATTTGGAACCAAAACCTACAGCACTAATATTTTTGGAAAGTTAACCGGTTGAAGAAATGCTAGTGATGATATAAATTCCTGTTATTAAGTACAATGATGAACCCCAATAACGTAACGACCATTAATAAATTAGTTGGATACATGCTAAACGTTTATTTGAATACCTTTATTTATTTAATTATTTAAATTTATCTACTATAAATTACAAGATGGCGTGTTATTGATTCAACTTAAAAAATAACATTTCATACTTAAGTATTTTTATTGAATCATATTATTATTTTTCCATTAATTCTCATTATTATTCTTTAATAATTCATTCTCTATCAATTTCATTACGAATATCTTATTTTATTTTATTGTACTCTTGTTCAAATTGATATTCAGTAAAACGATATAATTATATTACGTCATATTATTATTATTATTATTATTACAATATGTTATCTAATAATGTCTAATAATGTGTAACCGAACAATTATTTTTCGAATAACCGGCCTATTCAATAATAATAATATACGTAAACCTACCTTGAGTACCTATGTATTATGTATATCGTACATTCGTACGACATAATAATATATTATTTTAAATACATACCTACTAACATTCATACATATATAAAATGGCCTAGTACCTACACTGTACAGGACATACCACAGCAATTACACTTTGGATACAGTTTTAAAATATAACAATACCTTTTAATATTATATTTTAATTCACAGTATTAAGTACCCTCGGTTTGTGATTGGGTGTACACACGGATTGGCCTATATTATTATTGTATCTATCATCTATGTTATACGAGAGAACTACATAGAATATACAACATACATTTTACATGCTATATACTGTAAAGTAGTGATTGATATATAGGTGGCAGTAATAATAATAATAATAATAGAAAAGTATGAAACGATAAAACTTTTCGAAAAAATGAGTGGAGACACTGAAATCCTCCCCCGAACAGCATAATTTATTCTCTCTGAAAGAAAACATCATCCCTTACATTCGATTATATATAATACATGTATCTATTATATATAAAGTCAAGGTTTTATTATATGTATGTGCACATCCCCCTGTTATTCTAAGACACTTCAACAACTGACCATGGGTACCTATTTTATATTTATGTATTTTATACTTCCTTTATATGATATAATGACAATTACGTTATGCTATTATAATATAACTGTGGCAAGTAATTTTACTCTGCGAACATAACCGTCGCCTATATAATTATATATTAGGTGTGTATAATGTTTTATACATTATTAAAAGGTACACCTATGTACGTTCGAATTTCATTCAGATTATTTTCATTATTTTTAAAATTGAATTACATATATTATTATTGTTATTATTATTATTATTATTATTATTATCATTAAATAGTTACATAGTGACACTATGACATTATTATAATATGTATGTGTCATGTAGGTATTTATTGCGTTCGCTCGCGTATTTAATCTTTTTTTCTCTCTCTCTCTTTCTCTCTCTCTCGGTTAATTTTACAAAATTAAACTAGAATTAATAGACGATATACATAGATCATACACTATTATTTTTCATCATAGATTTCAGTAATTTCGGTACGCGTATCGCGTATTAATGTAGGTACTACTAGTCATTTTAATAATTTGGTGCTGTGTTATTGTGCCACCCGGGGGAAGATTTTATGGTGTCACTCTTTATCATTAATTCATCTAGGTATATATAATATATATGGCCTAACAATCAAGCAATAACAATCACACCGTTACAAATGTATTTATTCATAGAGCCACGTTTTTAACTTATGAATAGTTGACAATGAAACCATATGTTTATTTAATACTTATACAAATATTACTTTATATCCGCACTGTGTTTGTAATAAATATTATAGGATTTGAAATATTTTTTTTTTTAGAAATTCTGCTGATTTCTAATCATTTTGAAGAACAAAAGAAAATATTAATAAAAAAACACCTTTTGCCAATTTTTTGTCTCACAAAACTTTGCCACCCCGGGAAACTTCGTCCACTCTCAAAACACGGCACCGTAGTTACCGTTCGTCACAGTTCAATTAATTCAAGACTAAATTGCGAGTGCTGGTATTTCATTTCAAACTAAATAGGAATTAATAGCTCTGGGAACTTGGCTGATATATTACAGGAGTATGATTATATTATCTACATACTGCAGCGCTAGTAGGTAATAGCTACATATATTATTATAATATAGGCTTCGCCCGTTACATTATTTTAGCTAATCGAAAAAAAAATTGATGGTAATAAATAATAGCCATACTTAGACCACATAGCTATATATATAGTATTATTCATTGTGGTATGCCATACAACGTTAACAACCGCAATATTATATTATTAAAATATATATAAATACATAGTAACTCGACTTGATATTTTATTTTAGATACATAACTATTGTTTTTATTTGTACAAATTAATTAATACATATTTGTTGTTTGTTGGACTTATTATATTTAAAAATATATTATATTATACACGTGTATATAAATATATATATTTATTTATACAGTATTATACGGAGTGTTCCACGATGTTCTTGATATTTTCAAGTGACAGACAATGTAGCTGGTACATCTAGGACCACCTGTTAAAGATATGTATATATTATACACCCACACACATACACATATACATATAATATATATATATTTATATACATGTGTGTATGTATATGATAGGTATATTATATATTTATATATTTACATGAAATGTGTATTTTAATTTACGATGAGAAGTAATACTTGAGCCTGTATTTTTGGTACGTTGTAAAACACGCACTATATATTATTATGTTGCATGTTTACTATTTGTAGTCGTAATTAAATAATTGTTACTAAAAAATATATTAATAATTACTGAAAAATGTAGTATTTTTTTAAAATTATATATTATTATAATATTATATGTATTATCCTTTGTGTTGGTTTTTTATTAATTTATGTTTAGACAATGCGATTGATTCTTTGAACGGATCGACTGCATATATTATAAGAGTAACCTAAACCTACTAATCATTATATAGCTACATAAAACCTGGAGACGGAAACCTCTAGCTATATTATATATTTTATAGTAGAGCGATGACAGGACAATACTTTTTGGATAATTATGAGTTAATGACCTTTTTTATAGCACGTACAAATAAAATGTTATATATCTATTTGGGTACCTTGAAAAAAGAATTTGATAGTATAGTCGTAGAATAAAAATTATGAACTATAATTTGAAAAATAATTACCAATTTACCATAACACAATAATAAAATCTTCACCGACAGAGAAATCAAATAAGATTTGTGATATACAATTTACTATGTCGTACGCTATTTGTAAGACGGAGACTGCAACAAATTCATGGGTAGGGTCCTCTTAAAACTTTATAAAATGTTCAATTTGTATTACGAAAGATTGGCTATTTAAAATAAGGTTTCTCATAACTCCTAAGTAGTTCATACTGTATAAAAAAATCTAAAAAATATTAAGCACAGTTTTGTTTATAGATATTTTAGTTTCAAACTTGGATTAAATTAGATATTTAAATGAATGACGATTTTAGTGTAATCGGATACTTGGAACTTTTAAAGTATATCATTATTATATTGCATACACTCAATAACATTTTCAAATGCATTTTTTAAAATATATTTAATATATTCTTTGCTTTGAGATAATGGTCATGCATAGCTTAACATATACATTTTTATAGGTATATAAAGTTTGATAATTAAAAACTATAGGTACCTACTAAAAATTACTTATTTTACCTTACTACATATTATTATATGATTGTGACATTGTGCTCAGTTATAAAATCTTTCACTTGTCACGTTACATGATACCGATAACAATATAGGGAATGGTAAGAACAGAAATAAAATTAAATTCAAAATGTAAATAAAATATTTTTATAGAAAATATTATTCTAATAAAACATAAATCTGCTGTGGTCTAATCCCTTTCGATTGAAATTTGTATTCTTCTCCATTTACAGTTACTATAGTACACATATGATCTATTTCATCACACCCTAGTTTGGTTTATACATGTTTTCTACCCCTTATTCTTAGCAACTTCAATTTTTCTGGAGCTTTATTTTGTAAAATTTCAAAAATAATTTGCCACTTAGAGTATTCTAATATCAATTTAAGAAAAAACTCACTGACAGTTTTAAATTCTTGGCTAAAATTCAAATTGGAAATCTTAGGTACAGTACTTATTTTAAATGAATGTCATCTAAATGCAAAAAAATGTTTTAAATAAATTTATTAGATGTGTATTACTGCACTTTAGTGCAGAGGTGTACCCAGTAATTTTTCAAATTAGGTGGGGGGCTAGGTTAGGGTTTTTTAAAAAATTTTTTAATTTTTTTAACATGTAAAAGTATAATGCAATCAGTGATTTACACCTTATACATTTTAAATTCTGTCAATCCATGGGGGGTCTAGACTCGAATCCCCCTTGGGTACGCCCTTGCTTTAGTATGTAGTAATGTAAATAAATTATAGTTTAAAATTTAAATTAGGCAATAAATGGACTGCTCCTAATAATTGATGTACATAATTATTATTTGTTAGGTCCCTATATTAATTTCAAATTTGTAATTAAAAATGTAATTATTTTCGTTAGAGAGGTAGGTATATACAACAAACATTATACTATGTAACATGATAATTCAAATGTATGCGGTTTTCAATAATCTATCAATAATTTTCTTATAAATAATTCAAACTATCAGAAGGCATAACGTGAAATACTGAAATTGTGAAAATAAAAACTTCCGAAAAAATAGCGGTGATAATAGTTGGGCGATGAGGGCATAAGTCAAAAACTTAGGTACCTACGGCATACGTCGCCGATTCACATTTCGCATCGCGATCTCCTCGCCCCTCAGACGTCTTTATTTAATATTTTATTAATTTGTTTATTATATTATACTTCATATACTTCTATTTTTTTTTACTACGGATGAATTTTAAATTAAAAAAATATGGGGCGCTTGTGGCTTGGCGCCTGTGGGCTGTAAAACGATGACGACGACGACTATAATGACTAAAATAAATTGTATAATCAAAATATTATCATTATCATCATCACGGAGCCGTTATCATCACATTTTCATAGTTATTATATCGATGGGTAATGCGCATTAACATCAGGTATTATTATTACTATTAATATTATCATGAATTATTGTTATCGCCTATTTCCGTAACACTTTTTGATGCAAAGAAACGTTTTATTATTTCAATTATAATGAAATGTATAATTCAATTAATTCAACAAACACGAATAGTGCCCTTGATCGGCCGATACACTCTTCCAACGTCATTTTGTCTAAATCCGATGTTGCGTGCGTTTATTCGAAAGTGATTATCATAAATTTAGTGTCGTCGAATTGTAATAATAATTATCATAAAATGAAAAGAAAATAGACTGTTCGACGTTCGTATTGGAGGATTGATCAGTTCGTCTTTCATATTTACCCTTAGGTACTACTTTACAATAATAACACCCCTGCGCTTCGTGTATTGTTTTGTTTCTATCCACATGAGTAGCAGCTATGTCCACACAAGAAAAGTTTGCGGCGGCTATAAACGTCATTAGGAGTTTACCAAAAAATGGTGAGTGTTATAGTGTTATGGACACAGATTGAAAATGCATTTGTATAGGCTTATTATATTTTTTCAAGAATGTGAATCACATTTAATGCTTATGTTAATATGCTATATGTGTTGCTGAGAATATTTTTGGGGGCTGTCCGACAACCTTCTTTTAGACATTTATGAAGCATTAATATTAACTGATGATTTATTATTAAAATCTTAAACTGTACACCCACTAACCTATGATATAGACTATGGTATAGCTGCCACTGCTACTTCCATTAGTCTTACCTATTAGTTATAAAATTATAATAATTGAGCCAATCAATGCATTAGTCAATTTTCAGATTGCACCAATCAATTTAAAACTAAAATGTCTGGTTGGTAGGTAAGCAACATTTTGTGTGTGATTAATTTTAAAAATTACTTTTCTAAATGGCATGATTCTATATCAAATTGTAGGTTCAAAGTATATCGGTTGTCAATTAATGTATATTGTTATAGCTTATAAGTATATGAGTAATTTTAATAATAATAATTAATATTTTATTTAGATTTATTTAGTAACATTATCTGAGTGTAATAATAGGTACCTTTTACTTAATATAATATCACCTACCTACTTGAAATTTTTTTTTATTTGAAAATTAGGATTTATTTATTTATTTGTTAGAAATTGTCTAAACATTGGATTAGTTACTAAACAACTAACAGATTATTATTTAACTAAGATTTAAAATTGTCTGTCTATAAAAATTATTTATTTCAAACAAGATTAATGCAGTTCATCTGTGTTTGAACATTAGAAATCTGCTTGTCATCCAGTCTTTTAGCTGCTTATACTTATAACTTTATTTTTGTTGTATTAGCCGAGGAGCTATTGCAGAAAATAATTTATGATAAAATATATCGTAACTTACATTAACATCTTGACTACTATCTTTGTTTATCAATAACTCTGATATTAATCTAGACGACTCGACTTCTTTCAAATTAATTTTACTTAAAAGTACTTAGTGTTTCTTCAATGCGTTTTGTAACAGGTAATCCTTGACAAATATCCAATAGAATATTCATTTGAATGACATTAAAGTTTACTATTTCTTCATTATTTTTGACAAAAATCTATGCATAAATGATAATACTAGTCTAAAATAAACATATTTATTGTTTTGTTATTTTATGTATATTTTAATTTTATAGAATAAATTGTGGTTTGTTTGCTTTAAATTGTTATAAATAGGTTATCAAATATAGTTTTCAATTTCTTCTTCCTTGCTAGGCGGTCCTACATCGTTTTTATGTTTTGTTTAAGTATAAGACAGCTTTAATTTTCCTTGGTTTATTTTAAACTTCAAACCTAATTTGATGCGTATCGTGTAGATTACCCTCAATTTATTGAAATGTCGTCTTAAGTTTTCTCTTCATCATCCTCCAATGTAGTTCCTGTGAATTTTTGCTGTATTCAGTTGGTTTTTATTGAACTGCTATCATTTCATTTTTCAACATACGGTTTTGTTCTTTTAATTTCTTATTTTTTTCTCAGACCTTTTGTACTGATTTAATAATATCTCACAATTGTATAAATAAAATTATGAAATTAACTAATTCTTTCATATCCAATACAATTTTATTTTAGTGATTATCTCATTTGTATTCCATTAAGAGTTCCTTTTCTATATTTGTTTCATCACCTGCCATAGAGGTATTTTAAATAACTTTGCCATTTTCCATGTTAATACTTTTATAGTATGCTAACCTTTTATAATACTAATTTTTCTGGAATTTATTTCTTAAAAATCAGCACATAAAAAAAAATATTTTACATTTTAGACAATATGTTTCTTTGTTGTATGTCGTCATTGCATTATAAATGTAACACAACATAATAATGTATTTAATAAAAAATACATAGTGTAATATACTTATATCATATTTGATGTGTTAACTTGCGTTTCAATACAGTTGAACGGTGTGAATTGGTTTGTGACATAGATATTCAATATCTTAAAACTAATATAATATTTTGAAATTATCAATATATATAGTAAAATAGGTACTTTCAGGTTATCTCGACTACCGCAGCAATTTATTGAATAAAATAATATATATTTGTATTATATTATTGACATTTGATTAACATTCAGTTATTACATTTATTAAATAGTTAAAGAGTGAAGTAAAAATAATTTTATTGGTATAAAAAACATTTTAAAATTTAAAAAAAAAATTAAATTATTAAAATCAAAAAAGCTTAGTTAATAATTTTTTGTGGAGGAAAGTATGTCTCAGTGCCCATTAGAATTCTAGAAAATGGATCGTTTGTCAAGTTTTGTCATTAAACAAATTCAGTCAGATAAGACTTTAGATAATGGAGGGCTGTTCCCCACAATTCAATTGTATATTATGATGAACAATAAAACAGATTAAAAAATTAAAATTAAAACAATTCAACAGATTACAACGAGGAATTGTAAATTATAAATAGATTCCTATACGAGGTAGTCGAGATAACCAGGAAGTACTGCAAAATATATTGATAAAAACATACAAATATTAACTACAAAATAATTTGCAAAAATTTGTGATTTTGACAAAATTTGAACTCTAATGACTTATAAAAAAAATTGTGTCTTACACACCTATGTACTTTTTCTATTTTTGAATTGCTATAAGAATAACTTATGAGAGATCTTGTATAATATTTTCAACTATACTATCGAATAATAAATCCATAATTCCAAATATCTTTCAATAACACAAGTAAAGCCAAAATATTTTAAAAACTATCTCATGTCAAGTAAACGCTAATATATACATTCAGTGAACATTTCAAGTCCTTAGTCATTTTTTAAAATTATAATGAATAACAAGGTTGATTTTTTGTCAATTGTTTTTCTTTAATTTTTTTTTTGTTTTTTCATATTATTTAAAAAGTTCCGAACATTTATATTTTTAACATCCTAATATACAATTGTACCAACTAAATCTAATTATAAAAACTTTAAAATTTGTTGTTGGATATGTGTAGTAATCATTGATCAAAAAATGAGTATATCATACATTATATTGTATGAACAGAAACAGTAAAAACTTATCTTTGATTTCAAATATGGTTAAGATCTTTGTTTTAAATATTTTACACCATTTCTGTAATTTAACTAAAAAAAAATAGAATATCTTATTTATCATTTGATTTACATAATATTTTTAATTTATTCAATAATATTGAATTCTATTGTTAGTTTGTTATTGAAGTTATGAAGTTATTGTAATTTTGGTTTTATTTGCATTCACCTTTGACCTACAGGTATACATCTCGTATACATAGAATATCAGTAAATATGCAAATATTATAATTATTGATGACTTGTGATGATACGTTATGTATGTGATCTATCAGATACATAAGACCTTCCATATTGGGCTAATAATTTTAGTCAAATTAAAAATCATAAAATTATGTTTCTTTATTATTATTAATTATAAGTTAGGCAAATATAAAACAATAGGTACAAGGATTACATTTAATAATGACAAAATATATAGCAAAATATCAGTAAAAAAATGTATAAATACACTGCAATATATCAAGATTATTCAAAAAATGTCATACAACTATTTTATTAAAAACAAATGTTTAGCAATACATTTTTTGTGTATCACTTATAACAATTTAAAAAAAATGTATGTTGCCTGTTAAGAGATTGGTGTAGAAGTATGTTGTCTGTACATTATATAGATATAATCATCTTGGTAGGTCACTTCCTAAATGAAGAGGTACCCAAAGAATTTATAATTATAGAAAACCAATAAATAAATATGGAGTGAAATAAATAAAAACAGAGTTTCATTAATAAATTAAATACATTTTTTTATTATTCTTATTTTAACAATAATATATTCAGAATATGAATACGAGACAAATAAATATTTTTTCATCAAGGAAGGTTTATATAGAGTTTGAATTGTTTGTTGCAAAACTACAAATTAATAATATTATTATTACTATTATTTTTTACTAATGGTTGTCATTGGTTACAATTTTTTTATTATTTTTTATGTTGTGTCATCTCGTTGGCCGTTACGGTATATGAGTTGGTCTTACCCCAATATTTATTGCCTGCCAATATGTTTCACAACAAAAAAAATTGTTTCCTCCATTTATGATCATCATAACACCACATATGAACAGTAAAATCACCTTCTATGGTCACCATTATAAATAATCAATTTTTATAACTTAAATAACTATACTGTAAAAAATAAAAATACCCATATTGTTATATAATATTATACCCTTAAATTACATTTCATAATTTTTGTAATTCTTTTTATTTTTATTTTTAACCTTTTTCTTATGCATGTTATTAAAAAATACTTAGTTACAAAATTATAATTTTAACTAATTATTTTTAGAACTTTTACTTATGAAATTAGATTTTGTGCATTTTTATGTATTTTAAATTGAAAAACCTTTATTTTTATTATTATTGATTGAGTATTGTTTAAATATTTGTATTATATTATCATTTAATTGTTTTTAGGTGCATACCAACCATCCAAGGATCTCCTGCTTCGTTTTTATGCATATTTCAAACAAGCAACTATAGGACCTAACAATCAGCCCAAACCCAGCTTTTGGGATGTTGTTAATCGAGCAAAATGGCAAGCTTGGTATAATTTAGGAGATATGTCAAAAGAGAAAGCAATGCAAGAATATGTCGATGAGTTAAAAAAGGTAGTTATAGAAAATAAATTTTCTATTTAAATTCAATTTAACAAATATTAATTAAACTCAAATACTTAATCTATTATTTTTATAATTGAATGTTGACAAATATTTGTATTGTGTGTTCAATATAATATAATATATATTATATGTGTATATTATAATACATTGTATAACTTATACATGATACTTATTATACTTAAAAATTAAATTAAAAACATAAAAACATACTTATTTTTTAAAAAAACGTGTTTTATTATACGTAATTTATTAGTTATTGCGTAATATTGTACTGGCTTCTCAGAAATATTATGTTGTTAATTATATATTTTGTTTACTGTGTTATATTTAAATTTTCAGATTGTAGAAACTATGGCTTATACAAATCCTGTGGCCGATTTTGTGTCTAGCTTGGATTCATTCTATGAATCAGTTTCCATTGATGACTTAGAAATGGTGGTTGGTCCAATTGAACGAGGCAATTTAATAGGTATATTAATTTTATGTTCTTTCAATATTTAATTAAAAAAGAAAACAGTGTTGAGAAATATGTAGGTTAATACCATTATTGTTCCTAAAATAAATCAAATTTTTTAAAATACTATTTTAAATATAAAGCTCTTGAAGTGGTCAAAATTTCATAATTTTCATAGTAACTAAAATATAAGTGTTTAATTAAATCTACATACTATATTGTTCATATATCATCAAGTTCTTCTTCTCAAACATTGTATAAAAACCTATTATCCCTTTATGTAAATTATTAATACACAATTGAATGTTTTCACTATAAGTACCTCTAAAAATGTATGTCAAAATGTCCAAATTGTCAATTTATTTATATTTAATAATAATAATAGTTAATAACTTTTATGTTCTTATAATATCCTGTCCTAGAAATTTTTTATAAGGATGTAAGTACTGTTATTGTTTTAATTTTTACAGAAAAAAATAGTTGCAGTTTAATTTCAATAAATGAACATCAAGATATAGCAGACACAGAAATAGATGAAGAATGTTTTCATGATGTATTTGACAATTTGGTCAGCATTGCATAAGTATTTTTCTAATTATAAGTCAAATACAATTTTACCATGTAATTATCCAAACAAGAAAACCAGCTGGTGCAAGTCAACAAAGTTCTAGAATAATGTTATTAGAACATCAGATTCCTCTAATGTTACTGATTGAATTAGGTTGTGGGTTATGACAGCTTTGAAAAGGAACGAAATGTATACAAAACTGTCTTTTGAATTAACCTGTACAATAGGTACAATAAATAACAACAATATTTTTAATAATAAGACATTAATACTGAATACATCAATACGATATGTTTAGAAGTACTTATGCCAAACCATTTTTAAAAGCAGCATATTTATCATATTGTAAGTACATTTTGGATTATGTATAACGTTTGTACGTCACAATAACAATTTTACTAAATAATATTATACTATACATTTTATGACTATTATCAGATAGAATTTTAAATATATTTAGTTGATATTTTTACTTAATTATTAACATGACCTGTTTGTGTTGTCTCAGTCTTACAAACGTTTGTGATAAGCAGTTTTAACTTTTGTGTAGTTATCTTTAATATTAAAGTGTATTGACTGATAAGTGATTATCAAACTTAAATGTTGGCATTATCTTTTTTTTCTCATAGTTTTATATAATATTTTCATTGTTGAGTAAGCTTGAAAAATTTTTAATATGTAATATTTTTTATACTGATAATTTGCTTAAAAATCAAAATATTGTAAAATTCAACTAGAGAACATAACTAATATCCTTATCTTTAACTTTAATTATTATGATAGTTGATTCATTCTAATATTTAAACTCAAAATACAAAATTATAATTGTTGAACATAAATACTGTTAGGCATTAGTAAGGCAGAGATAACACATGTAAGTATAACATCTTCTTAATTTAATACATTTATTTGTAAATGTACAATGTGCATAAATTATAGCGACTTTGCTACCTTTTTTTTTTATTTATTAGACTATTAATGTTTTTTAGTTAAATGTAATTGAAAAACAGTACTTGACTTTAATTAACTTGGTTTAAAAAAAAATATTTGATGGTTGTTACATGAATGTATTTTTCCTGATCCCTCCAAGTTTAGTTATTTGGTCAAATTAAAATACAATTTTTATGAAAATGTATGAAATTTAAATAACTATATGTGATAAACAATACAATACATAATGTACAATAATCTAAACTGCTATATAATAAATCTAGCACTACCCCTGCTACTCTGCGGGAAGAATGATCCTGTCTTGTAGAATCAACCCAAAGAGGCTCTATATTAAATATAATTTTCAAACTTTATAGAATAATTCTAAATTGAAAAAACTTTAGAACATTTTCACTGGACTTCTTGACCTCAAACTAGTTTTAATTTTTAATGTGTAGGTCAAATCGATATGTTAAATTGTATTTGATTCATTTTTATTAAGTTTTTATTGTAATTTTTTACATATTGAACACATTGGTGTTGCATACTTTAGTTTTAATAACTTCTGAGTCCTCATTGATAAGTCATAACTAATGATACATTATTGTTTTATTAATTTCAGTCAAGTGGAGGAGAGCGTTTGATCAATAGTCAAACGGTTAGTCAATATTTAAGTTCCAGTGACTACATTGAAGATTTTGTGCCCGAAAATTGCATTCCAATATCTCAACAAAATGGGAATAGTATGATGCAGTTACAATATTCAAATGACTGTTAGTATATTGTTATAAATTATCATTTAATAGTAATAATATAATAACTATTTTACATTTTTTGCTTTTTATAGTTTTAGATGAATTTAAATTACAAATAAGAAATACGGTATCAACTATGAAGTATGATCTGGATATTATAACAAATAGAGTTGTTAAAATAGAACTAAAATTAGATGAGGTAATATAAAAATGTATTGTACTGTACATTATATAATTAAATTCACTCAAACAATGCTGAGCAATAACTTAAAATATATTTCAGATAAAAAAATCAAGAGAACGAAAACATTATCAAACTTCATACTTTAATTTATTCCAGATTGCAGTCCTACTTGGTTGGCCCATTATTGTTCAGCTAATATTCAATTGGTTTAAAAGGCAAAATAGACAAAAAGCCTTAAACGTAAAAACTTTGTGATATTATATGTTCAGCTTAAAAGTGATAAAAGTTTAGTGATACCGTTAAATAACTGTTTACGTTAAGTAGTTATATACTCTTAGGTATCAAAAAAATGTGTTTTATCTACAAAAAATTACTTTCATAAGAAACAAAGAATTGTTGATAATTTTACCATAATTTTTTTACCTATGTAAGATACATATTATGTACGTTAAAAAGAAAAATATTTTTTTTTATTAACACTCACAATCACACTTAGGTAATTATAGATATTATTTAATTTTTATAAAAATCTTAGAAATATTTTAAGTATATACTACAGCAATATTAGTACTTGAATTGGTATAGTCTTATAATTTTTTTATTTTTCTTATTGTTTAACCATATTTTATTCAAACATGAATCATTTACAAATAGTTATTCTTGATTTTCAACTACTTTCTTTAACGATTAAAAAGTATAAATCTACACATATTTTTTTCCTGATAGTCCTTATTTGCTCAATATGTTTATAGAAAATGCTAAAAACATTTTTAAATTTTTTAGTTGTATTTACATTCAACCTTAATAAAGATAAAATATTTTTATATAAAAAGTGCCTCCATAATATTTATTTGAACTGAAATTTTTTACCATTAAAAACGGTTTATGATATTGACCAGTTACACAATGTATATTAATTATACAGAATATTATTGTATACATTTTAAAATACTGATTCATAACTTTTATATTAAAATACGGTTGAATAACTGGAAAATATTAATGTGCATTGTCCGACTGTGGTTGTGGCTTATGTAAACTATTAACAATTTAATTTGAATCTCCTTCATACTAACTAGAATTATTAGTTTTTTATATCAATTGTTCTAATATACTCTAATATTTTTTTAGTATGTAATATGTATATACGTTTAGAGCGTAATATATGATGACTGATCCAATTATATAAAAGAAAAAACTATGTCAACAAGTAATTGATTTAGGCATCAAACAAAGTAACATTTTTCATTTATTTTGTATTCAATATCTTAGGAGATTTTATCATGTTAGTCAATGTTATATATGAATTCTTCTGTTTAAGTATCCAGATTTTTTTTTTGTATAACTTATATTTGTGTGTACATCACATAATTGTATTCTATTTGTTAATGAAAATGTAATATTTAAATCTAATTTAGAATATATTTATTAATATTATTGTGGCAATGGTATCAAAATACGCCATCAAAACTTTTTAAAAGAAAAGTCTTCTAAGCAAAATATTTGTTTTGCTCAAATTTAAAAATGAGTTTGAAAGTTGACAAATGGTGTTTTGTATCTGCAACTAATTTGTATTATTTTATTTTTTGTTATGTAATGAATATTGTTAATTTTATTGTTTATGGAGAAGGTTATGACATTGGTTATTAATCTTAAAGTTTTTCAATCAATGATGGCAATATGTATTTAATAAATATTACACTTTGATTTATAACTTAATGTGTTCAAATTTAAAATTAATCTATCGTCCGCACTATTGTAAAAAAATAGCAATATCTCAAATGTTTCTTGTTTAGTAGACCTATTTAACAATTTAAAATTTAAAAAACATCATTCTCAACCTTATCCGAAACTAGTGATGTCTTAATTATTTCCATAATAATATAAACCATGATATCTATAATTTATAATTGATTACACTTAAATAATCGTATAAAAACTGTGATTTGTAGTTGAAAAAGTTTAGTATGTAGATTAATACTATATTAATAGTATAATACTTTATTTTATTTTATGATTTTTTTTGTTGTAATTATAAAAATACATTCTTACATAAAAAAATGTTGCATTGACCATGTATTACATTCTGAGCAATGAATATTTTGCAATTTTTTTTTCTATTAGTTTTTTAACTTATCATGTTTTTGTTTTTATACAGCAAGAATGCATTGATCACCAACTTTGACTTTCACAGTACTTTTCAAAATGATTGAAAGAAATGATAATATACACATTGTAACTCATTTTTAATTATCGATATAATGTTTTTGTTATTATTCAAAACTAGTGTTTTGAAAACAATGAATAGGAAGGAACTTAGCCTCTTTACATTTTGGCACCGCTATTTTCAAACTCAAATGGTGATACTATTGTTATAACAGATAATAGATAACACTCATTCTTCATCTAGAAATTGTGTATTCAACACTAACAACTTATTATAATTACAATAAGTTCATATTATACATTTTTAATATATTATTATACACAAATATTAATAACGAAGGAATAACTTTTGTTATAATAATAGTCTATGATAAATGGTAATATAATTGACAATGCCAAAATGGTCAATCTTCAATTATATAGGTACCTATCAAAAACAATACTTTTATTTTTTCATAAATCATTATTTATACTCTTCAATTTTTTATGTATTTCCAAAAGGCAATAAATTAAAAAATAAATATTCATATCATGAAATTTGAGGCACCTACTTATTAACAGTAGTGCCACAATTGCATATTACTTTAAATAAGATATGAAAGCTGGCATTTATATTATGAAAGCTAATCAACAGATCTTTGCTTTTAATTATTTTATCATTTTTTTATAGGCGTCAATGCTTCATTCTAATATTTACCACATTATTATAAAGCTAAGTGTGATGCAAAACTATGCCATAGATGCATCTTTTTTTTATAGATTTTCAGAGTACATGTAGTCCTATTTGAACCAAATTTTTAATATACTTTTCTGGTATGTGTAAAAACTATGGTATAACACAGATTGGGTTGTTCTATATTAAATTGTTTGTTTGTTTGTACCAAACGAATTCAATATTATGTAATACATACGTCGCACTCTTTTCTAAGAGTAGAATAAAAATTTGAAAATTATGAGCAGATGAAACTAAACAAACTGTCTAAAATGGAACATTCAAGAATTTCCTCGCTCACATAAAAATATATCAACATTTAAGCACTTATTTAAGATATAAATGGTAAATCTAATAATGTTTCAACCAAAAATTTCTTTTTGAGTAAATTAAGAAGATTGTATTTATTTTTGTTGTAAAATGTGTCGGGAGGAGGCGGTGCTCTCAAAAAATTGATAACTGCAAGAATGCTCTATGCACATCTTTACTACACTTTTGCATTACTCTTTAAATTGTTTTCCAATCAAAACAATGTGGCACTGGACACTGGTAATATACAATATTATACTGCAGTGTAACTATATACCTAAGTAAACACAATGCACTACATACAAACAGTGCCAGAATAACCGTTTGGCACCAATTTAAGCATATATGTTGGTATAGGTAGGTTAGGTATACTGACAATACAAAATCCATTTTACACAGCCAGTACAAGACACAAATGCCTATTTAATCGTTTTTCTTTATTTTTTTGCTTTTTAAAATATCATAATTATTACTAACTTATTCTCATTTTTGAGATACTTATTGTTAACTACCAGGCACTATGTTATTATAGTTACTGAACATAATAAACCGATTTATTAAACTATACCTAAGCTTTAGCATTAAATTGCTTCATGGCCATACATAATATTAATACAATTCACATAAAAATGTAACTGAACAATTTGTTGTCTACATTATTCTATTACCTGCTAACGCTTTTTTTAAAGTTTTTTTTTTTTTGACATATTTAACATTGTCTTATTGAACACCTTATATTGTATTTTGAGTAAAATAATTAATTGGTAGGAAACAATAAGTTTCAAAAACTGATAATTAATTTTTTTTCTGATAGGTAAACTTGTATGTACCTAACCTAAGTATAAGTAATAATAGTATTATAGCTAGTTCCTCCAGACTTCAGGGGCCGGGGCGTTTGCATTTTTAAAAGGTATGGTTTATTTCAGTGCATACTAGTTGCTTCCAAAAATATACAAATTGCCCCCCATCCTTATCGTAAATAAAAAGGTTAATGTACACTAGTTGCCTAAGATGATCAGGTACCTAGTTCATGATTCCCAAGAAAATTCACACTAGTTGCCTCCCGTATAGAATTAAGTAATGGCTTATAAACTTCACCATAATACACCATGTAAGTACACATATGTGTTATACTTATAAAAATTAAGTCCAGAGTAACATAATTATTTTTGTTTAATTAATTAATATAATTGATATCATACTATCATAGATATTTTTCTATTTTGTCATAGAGGTAAGCAACGTAATTTTATTTTAAGTCTAGGCAGAACTTCATACTAAAATTATAGATATTTAGAATTAATAAAAAATTGTTTTATTATTATTAAAGTGTCAGTCTTAAATACAAGTAGTAGATACCTAGTTATACAAATAAAAGGTATATTAAAAAGAATAGTAGCTATAATAATTAATCAATAAAAAGATATTTGGTAATTTAATATAAATCTACAATTATAAATATTAGGTATATTATATCTGCAAACAACATATTATGTATGGTTCATAAATTTCACCAAAATATTATACATTATAGGTACATGTATACAGAATAGGTAAATATACTGTACGTTATAAGTTATAATTATCAATTGTTTTATGTTGAGTAATTAGGTACCTAGTTAATGATAGATATATATAGAAGGTAAAGTTAAAAAACATCAGTCTCAGGCTTATACGATATTTATACAAAAATTACAAAACTATAAAAATTATAATATAATAAGTCAATACAAAACAGGTAGAAGCACCTTTACTTATTCAATACCTACAAATATATTTGGTGATATAATTAGTTAATAAAAAAACTATTTGCTATAACATTGCTTAGATTTATATTTTTTAGCCAAAATGTTTAGAACCACTTATACATATATAACCTGTCCATTGGAGGGCAACTAGTACTAGGCATTTTTCGTTTACGATAAAATTTAGAGTTAGAAATTTAGAGATAAAATATACGTCGGGAGGAAACTCGTATATAGTTGGGAAGCAATTCGTGTAAAAATTGTTGACCTTTTTTTCTTCAGGAGGCAACTAGTATGTGGCTGTTTATTTTGAGATGGCTTCTCCGCCAAATATTTCTGGCAATAACCTTCTTTTAACACTTAAGCTTATTATCCAAAATGTTTAAAGATTGTTTAATTTGAATACAAATAACCAATGTAACAATATTAACTAAATACAGATAAAATATTATTTTCATACTGCACCTATGCTGCCGTGCTTAGTAAAAATGCAGTAATTCC